ATAGTTTTGAGAAGTTTTCATCAAAGTCTACCACGAAATTTTTACTCGTCCACTAATAGCCGGAAGTCGCAGACGTACCAGCATCATCAAATTTATCTTTATACCCTTTTTATTACAGAAAAAATAAGTTAGACATTGTGGTTTTAAGATTTATTCTTGTTTTAGAAGAGAAGACACAATGTGGATGTATATAACTGAAAATAAAAGCAAGAAGCGTGACACGCTCTCTCCACAACGAGATTCGTGTTGCACGACGTAACAAAGCGGCGGCCGGGAAGCCGGAAGGCTCAAGCATTGTTCGTTACTATTATCGTGCACTACAATGCATAGAGTTAACTGCAATTTTATTGATGTACAAAAAATATATAAATAATTTTCACTCTTAATACTAAAGTGCTTTTTTTTCAAAATCACAATAATGCTAAGATTGTCTATACTGGCGAGTATTACACAGGGAAGATACAACAATTACAGCTTAAGGTTAGCCAAGTTATCTAGCCGGCCGTATCCTATCAATAATTCATTTGGGCTGTTTTGATTATTATTCTGCCTTTAAGCTATCGACGTTCAATGGCAGATAGCACAAAACCGCTTTTTGGTCGATCTTTCCTAAATTTTCCCACTCGTGAAACACATTCAAAGGTAAGGGATAAACCTCGGCTGGCGAAAATCTAATTCCGCTATCAATTGGAAAATTGTTTATCATAAAATAAACTTTCCCTTCTATTTCCAATGCGTTAAGATCATTTGGAGGAATATGATTTTGTCGAATAATAGACCAGGAGTTGTTCTCCTCGTCATAAACCTCAACAGAGGCTCCACTGCCAACAGGTGAGCCACATCTTTGGGTAACCGATTCAGATCCCCCAGCGACACAGAGTTTCTCGTTTACTGCCAAAAGACTTGATCGATAATGAGGATTTCTGGTTGGTTCCGTGAGTTTCCATTTATTTGTCCTTGGGTTGAAAAAATGCACTTGAGCCGGTACCGGTTCATAGTAAGAAGGACATCCTCCTAAATGACCATGAAGTACATATAAACGTGATTTGAAAATAATCGATGCTTTACCGCGAAATGAACCAGGAGTAAACCGATCTGGATTGAAAGATTTTATACGCTACCTCTGATTTGTATTCAAACTCAATCTGTGAGGTGGTTTCGATTCATGGATTGCATAGATATAATCACCCATTGAACACAAGCAGTCAGTCTTAAAATTAAACCCTGGAATTGTTGGTAATGTATCCCAGGCATTATTAACTGTATCATAACTATACATAACAAAATCTTTCTCCCTTTTTGCGGCTACATACAGGTGATTACCGACGTACTCTGCACAGTAACACTCAGTTGCCTCAATCAGTCGGGCCATGAACGGCAGAGGTCTCCATAATTTTGTTTCAGCATCAAAGTAATGCATCTCTGCTTGCTGCTGAATGGCAACAAGAACCTAAGAAGACGTAAAGGAAGAATCATTTGATAAATTTCAATATATGAAAATCATTTATGTGTGTATTGCGGTTTCATGAAATGTAAGAAAGCGATCCTCGCAGTAATAAACTTTACTAATATGGAAATAAGTGGAAATAAGGCCTGAAAAAAATTCAGACCCGTACGAGATTTGAACTCATGACGGCTGCGATACAGGTGCAGTGCTCTGGTCATTAGATTGGTTCGTACAATTAAAACGGTAAAATGCTCTCTCTTCAATGAAAAAAATTTCCTCTAAGTTTCATGATGCGCCGACCACACCTACAACTGTGACTGACGCTTTTGACGTAAATGTGACAGTGAAAAGTGTTCTTACCGGTTTCGAGGACCTTGCCTTAGTTTTCTCTGCTGCGAACTCAGGCCTTCTTAAAGGCAGGTAGCTGTACAAGAGAGATGAATACAAGTGCATGTGAACCTCTGGATCTCGCTGCATTTCCTCTGTATCAAGTTCAGCGATCAGCTCCCTAATATTTACCAAAGCTAATCGCACTGCTCCAATTACTTTGGCAGCAAAAGACATTCTCTCCTCCTTCTCGTGTTTAATCCATCGCATCACCGATTGAAAGATGAACGTTTCCGAAGGTGCATTGAGGTCATCTCGACTTAGGAGGCTGAGTAACTGATCGCCGCCGATATGAGCCAAAAATTCCTCGCTTTCGCAAACATCTTTATACTTCTTAGCCATTTCACTCTCAGTAGCTTCTTTTAGACCTTTAAGGCCATGGCTGTGAGCAATTTCCCAGATACGAGAGTAAGTTTCAAAATCAAAGCGAAGTTTAACGAACTTGGTCAGCAAGAAATCACAACACTGTTGAACAACAGTCGTCACTTGAAGGTGATCTGCTGCCGCAAGAACTTCAAACACATTTTCTTCGTTAACCTGAAGGGTTCCAGTGTAGATGGAGTCCAGTATAATGTTTAAAATATCAGATAAAATGCTTTCATCTTTCAGCTCGATTACTTCCTGGCTCGCTTCTTTCATTCCATCTGTAAACATGGCGTAGAAATAATCGCTATTCGCAGCCAGAACAATGCGATGAGCTGGAAAGATGTCTTCCCCCACTTTTAAAGGAACGTCAGTGAACTGCTCCTCGTCTCTAAACTGGGCACATTTGGACAGGAGAATCTCGGAATTGTTTACGACCATTTTGAAAGAGGAATTAACCGATTCCGGAGGAGCAGAAACCGGGGCGAATGTTGTCCTTACACGATCGCGTGACTAGGAAATAAAATAGTCACGCTACACTAGCAATTACACACCTACCCCTCCCCTAATCTGACATCGGCCCTTAATTGTTGACTGTTGTTATAAGGGGAGGGGTAGGTGCGCAGTTGCTCAGATACTGACATTAGGGGAGGAGTAGATGTGCAGTTGCTTAGATACCAACATTAGGGGATGGGTAGGTGTGCAGTTGCTCAGATTGTGACACTAATCTGGCATTTGTTGATGTCTGAGACGAATCTCTTTCATGAGGTAAATATCTCGTTCTTCTTTCCGTTTTATTGTGCCTAGTGCTCGTAGAGCCCAAGGCACTATGTCCAATATGTTATCGTGCACACGTGTATGTCCGTAACTCGGGTTGTACTCCACTACAGCGCATGCGTAAAATGTGAGCGCATGCGTACAATGAACCCTAGAGCGCATGGTTTAAAGCCATGGCTGCCTTCGTGGACAATATTCCTTGCTTGATGTACCCGAAAGAAATTCGATGGCTATTACGCATGTATATACAAAGTCACACGCCTGGGGCAATTACAAAAATTAAGAAAAAAATGCCCTCTGTCTTGACCAATCACAATTCAGTAATTTTGCCCCTCATATGATAAAATTGAAGTATAGAGCAAGTCGGTATTTATCAATGTTTTCTTGTAATAGACCCATGTGTCTTCATAATGTATCAAACTATTGTAAATTTCAACTGAGCTCAGATATAGAGACAAACCCTGGTCCTGCTCCAATGTACATTGACCCTAGCAAAACAATAGCAGCACCATGCAGCCAAGCTAATGAGTTGATATTTGGACAAAATTCAGGACAACAATGTGTTGCAATGAGGTTATGCTCTTTGATTTACAATAACAAACAAGAAATCAATTCTGCTAATGATCTCGTTTCAATAATGAATATTGGAAATCAGTTGTATTCAAGGTTGTCTCATTTAACCAGTCAATCATTTTTAATGCAGACAAAATTACCCACACTTTTAAATGTGTTCAAGACTGACTGTGAACTTCAATACAGTGAGAGCTACACTAGTACTATTCATCAAGAAGCTACAATAGAAGGATATCAGTACTGTACCTCCTTAGGTAGAGCCTTTCAATCACTTATATCTGAAAATTTCAACAACTTTGTCTTGACAACAGGATGTACTGTAGTTGCTATCTATTGTAGAGGTAATGTGGGCTTGAAAATATTTGATTCTCATGCAAGGGATATGGTAGAAGGCATCCTTAAGGTACATGTGTGCAGCTTGAAGTATCATCACTGAATAGCTTAGTACATTATTTTCAGAGTATACATAACAATGATATATTTGAGTTGAAAGGGGTTAAAATTAAAGTTCAAAATAGTACCCTTTTTCACTCATGCCTGTGAAACCAGAAAGTTCAATGTGAGTTGTGCTGTGACCGTCTATTCACTCTACTACTCTGTAATAAAGTCACGTAGTTATTGGAATTCGAACACCTTATCTAATGCTATTCAGTGTGGCGAAAGATTATAAAAAAATTCATCTTTAACAAGTATTTACCATCAGGTGATTTGCCAAAAACTGTTGATGTTTGTGGAACTGAAGTGAGTTTAGATCCTAAAAGTGATTACAGTGAAGGGATGTTGATAGCAAATCAATTCTTGAAAATCTTGTAAGAAATAGTACTGAATGTACGGGGTTTTTGATGTGGTTTTCAGTTTTTTGTATGACATATTTTTAAACCCACAAAAAGGTCAAAATATGTGTATTCCCTTTTGGTATTTAATGAAAGTCAAATGCCTTTAATTGAAAATACTAAAACTGTAAACAGCACTACTTCTCTTGTTGCAGCCATCAGCAATATTCAATATTCAGAGATTTTTCTATTAAAATCTATGAACTATTGAACGGTAGTACTGCTTCAATCTACTGATTTCTGACAACTTCCCTTGGGTGTGAACATTTGCTGCAAACTAAGACTTGGTACCAATAATAGATAAAAAATTCCCTTCTCCTTGTGGTTAAAGGCAAATACATCACCTACTCAGGGTTTGTAAAAGCCTTGAAAGTCCTTGAAAATGCTTGAATTTAAAAATAAAAAATTCAAGGCCTTGAAAGTAGTTGAATTTGAGGACTTAAGGGCTTCATTTTTGCAGTGCTTTTTCTTTAAAAATTTTCAAGTTGAAAATTACAGTACTTTCATGGAAAAGCTGAGAAATAGTACTAAATAATTTTAAAATCACTTATGCAAACCTTTCCAAAAGTGGTCCTTCAATTTTCTAAAACTTGGCCTTCAAAGTCATTATAGTCATTGCAGATGATACTATTTTTCATATCACTAGGCACATGTAGTCATGGACTGTGTATTTTTAATCACGACACTAAGCAAGACAAACGCTGTGGTTTTGAGATTCATTTTGCACTTGGAAGAGAAAACACAATGCAAAAAAATTCTAAATCAAAATGAAACCAAAGACTGACACACTTTCCAATACGAGATTTGTATTACGTGACGCCACAAAGCAGCCGCTGTGGGGGACTTCATTACAATTATTACATTTCTTTGGGTTTTATTTATACTGCACTGAAATATCAACACTATTTTCAAATGATGTTTTTAATTAAAACACTGTTTGCAGAATTTTTCAAAATGCTTACTAAAATTTTTTGAAAAAGTCTAAGCCTGGTGTCTATCTAGGGAACCAGGGTACTACCATGTTATCTTAGTCAAAATAAACTCATATGATCATTGGGATTGCACCTGGCTGGTCAATGGTTAAATGATGCCCCTCTAAAATAGTCTCCTAATGTGACTTGCACTGAATTCAAAATTCTGCAACTGACTCTGTTGTTTGTATGACCATGGGAATCCCCTTAAGGGCACTTTTACAGTAATGAACTTGTAATATTCTCCAAAGATATAAAAGATACTTTTTAGGTTTGTAATTAATTGTTCTCAAGCTCATCTGAAGCCTCATAATTTTCTGTCAATTCCTGTTTTGTTTGATCAGTCTTAGTTCTGTTCACAGGCATGTAAACAAACACTGCATCTGTATCATGCTGAGAAATTGCTTTCCAATCTTCAATATTGACATGATAAACCTCCTCATCTCCAATTCTGATTCCGCTGTCAAACGCAACATTTCCAAGTATAAAGTAGATGTGGCCCTCAATCTCCACAGCTCCAAAATTACCAGGTGGTATGTGAGGTTGCGGAACAGAATGCCATTGGTTATTTTCTTCATCATATACCTCAACATGACTGGATGGTATAAGTCCCCTCTGTCGCTTGCTGGGTGGGTCTGTTTTACCACCTGCAACATACAATCTTCCCCCAGCCACAAAGGCACAGGCTTGGGTGTGGCTGTAAGCTGTTCCCGCCAACTTTGTCCATTCATTCTTCATTGGATTAAATCTGAACACCCCATGATCTGCCCCTCCTTTAGCCCAAGAGCCACCAATAGAATAAATACAGTCATTGTACACAGCCACGGCACAGCCATAGAGGCCTTGATCTACATGGAAGGAAAGGCGCTGCCATATTTTCTTTGAGAAGCTAAATCTCTCGGAAACTGCACTGTGATTAACTTCACTGCCACCAATAAGGTACAGAAAATCTTCAAGCAAGCATACTTGGAAATCACAATGTGTATTCCTCATAGGTGGTAATGCTTTCCAAGCATGAGTATCAAGCTGGTGTTGATGCACATCTTTCTCATCAAAGAGGAACAAGTAATTTCCAGTGTACAGTGCTGCTGGTGTGATTTGAAGGCTTGGTAGTTCAAGACCAGGAAATGGCTGCCATCACTTTAACACAGTATCAAAGTACTTAACTTCAGACAAGCATGACAATGAAACCAGGGCCTAAAAAATTAACAATGGTTGTAATTAACTTTTGAAAAAAAAAATGTTGTTTAAGTCAATGTTTTCTGTCAATTTTGTACTGTGATGGTTGCAAATTTTCTAAAACAAATTGAATGTAACAGTGATTCATATTTTTATCATAGAGCACTGAAGCCCATGTGTCCTTTAATTGAAAAGGATACAAAATGATCTCAGATGTGGTTTCTACACCATGGTTTGAACCAGGCCTGAAATAGCTGCACGATCATTGAAGATGTGAGCTTAAAGAACAAAGGAAGAAATGGAAATAGCTGCAGTCCTCTAAAGGATTGCTTATTGACGGAGTTGGGTTAGCCTGTATTTCATGACCTATTGCCAAATATTTTCCCATCTGGCACTCCTTCTCAGACACCAAGTACCTGATTCCAATGTAATTGCAAAATTAGAACACAGAAGCAGGTAACTGAGTATCAACATAGCCGAGGCTATAAGAGAGGGGCTCCTGGGGAGGGGGGTTCCTGGTGAGGGGGGCTCCTGGGGAGGCAGGCTCCTGGGGTGCATACCAACCCTTCCTCCTGTTGCTAGCTTTCATCTGAAAAGTATTAACATGTAATGAATAAAAAAAAAAACCGTACTGAGACACTGCCAGTGTAGGCCAACCCTCACAGAAAAATCCCCTCTCATGCCTCTGACTTGTGATCAACACACTCTAGCAGATCAAGAATGTAACCTAAGTTCGGTTTGCTTTAGGTCATCTCCCTCCCCAGCCCTCAAACCATGTATGCATGCAGCAAAACTGCAAGGGACAAAGTACTCACCTTTGATGAAAGGCGTGGCATTCCCTTCTCTTGAGCAAATGGAGAAGACAAAAAGGGCCGGACGTGCTGTGATAAGCTGTTGTACATGAGCGAAAAACACTCAGGGATGTCTTTAAACTCCTCCGATTCAAGTTCGGATAAAACAACCATTATGTCGACAAGTGCCAAACGAACTTTGTTCAGCAGTCTTGGTGCAAGTGGCAATCGGTTCTCTTTATCGTGCTTTATCCAAGAGATCACGCTTGTGAAAAGGAACGTTTCTGAGGGAACACTTAGATCGTTACGTGGAAGGAGAAGCTCTAGCTCGTCCGCCTTAAAGTTCTCCATAAATCCTTCTTCCTCGCAAATTTCGCCAAACTTCAGAGCGAGAGCTTGGAGACTTTCTTCACGGAGTTCCGTCAAATTATGCCGATCGGCGACTCTGTGAATTTTTAGTCGAGTTTCCACTTGGAATTTATCTCGACTGAGGTTATTACCAATGAATGACGAGCACTTCTTAACTACGCTAAGTATCTGCAAATGATCAGCAGCTTCTAAAACGTCTAGTACATTGTCTTCGGTAAGCGGGAGAATCGAGGAGTAGATGAAATTTAAAATTATTTCGAAGGCCTCTACGGTTAAATCTTCTCCTTTAAGTTCCACCTCATTTTGTGTACTTTCTTTCGTCTCGGTAGAAAACATTGCATCAAAGTAACGGCTCGAAGTAGCCAATAAAACTTTATGAGCGTGGAATATCTTTCCTTTGACGCGTAAAATGACGTCGGTATAGCTGAGGTTTTCGCGCATTTTCATCAAATTTTTAAACATCTCGCGCGAATAGGCCAGGTCTAATTCTTCTTCCATACTGAAGTGACGATCTTAAACATACCAAAAAATCACTATGAATTGTTTAGAAATGTTTGCAGCTCACCTGAAACAAAAATATCACAATATTTACCTTCGAACTTTAAACCAATTTTCATTACACGTGGAACTAAGGTTTTTCCCATGTGACAGATTCCACATGGATAAAATGATTGGATGAACCGGTCCCAGACCCAAACAGCATGCTCACATTCGGTACATGCTGATCTACGTAACTGCAGCCACGTCTTCATACAAGAAGGATTGTAAGTTGTTATGATCCAATTAAGTAAATTTCGACACTAATGCAAAGACTGGATTATCTTCTTCATCGCGTGATTTGGTCTAGTGGTCACGAGGCACATGTCAAACACAATTCAGATCACGCACGTCACGCAAGAGTACAAAGGGTGGACAATGTTTTAAACATTTCTACAAACCACCAACAAATTGTTTTTTCACGAAATAAAAATAGTTATTGGAGAAATCCGGTGAACTCAATGCAGATATCTCTACCTGACAATTACATGATTTTATATGCAATTTAAACGTGTTTTTTTTCCTTAACCTAATCTTTCCGATAGCAGATAGATGCATCAGTTATGCATGTAATTGATTTAATCCCTCCTTCTCAATACACCTTTTAATACAAACTGTTTTCTGCACCAGAAAATTTGATAGTTGGGCTGTTTCAATGCATTCAAAAGGTTTCAAACTTCAAAAAATGACTTTCAAACACAAAGGCTTGGGTGCAGGAACAATGTAAGGCTTGGTAATTAAGTCTGGTGACATCATACAATTCTTTGAATTGTAAATCCAATTTATTTTTTTCCACCACTATACATGGCAATATTTTAACTGATTTAAATACTTTGAATTCAAATAAATAATCATAGTTATAAAGCTTTCAATGCTGCACACTGAGAGGTAAAAAGAGTCTAAAAATAACTAATGATGCGGGAGCAATGAACTTTATCCTCGAGGTCAGGGGCTGAAGAGAACACATTTACATACATCAAATTCAACAATGATTATGACTGCCCATCAGACAGCCAATGGGGATTAAAATACAATAAGATCAAAATGTTTTATGGTGGTTTTATGGAATTTTGAGGACTCAGTAATCAGGAGGTAATGGAAAAGAATAAAATCAGCATCTCCCTCACTCATTCCTAACCTAAAAAATCTGAATAATCACAAAAATAGATTTTTGTCAGCAAGCCTGACAAGATGCTTAAAGTACCAGAAAAAATTCAAATTACAGAACAGATTAAAAAGAATAAAGATAAAATATCTCTGAACAGATTAGAAAAAGAGGTTCGTCTCTGTAATACTGTACTGAATATCTAGGGTCAAATCTTAGCCGTCCTTCCCCAGGAACTTCCAAATAAAAGAGATGTTGTCAGGAAAGTAATTTTCAAATCTTTCTAGTAAGAGCACATGTTTAAATATGATCTATGCCTTGCACATGTGACAAATGACTGCTCAAAAGTGATTGCTTGTTCAAATGTAGAACTTATTTTAGCTTTTATCTGGCTCTTTACACCTGAAATTTCACTAACTGCCAGGTTTTTCAACTTCCCATGCTTCTTTTACTTTAGTGATGGCTTCATCTAATTCTTCTTTCTTTGACTTTAAATCTTGGTCCACACTGTTGAGGCATTCCTGAGAAGACTCTAATGTCCTAAATTCTTTCAAAAATGAAGCAGCTACACCATAGAGCTCCTCGTTAGATTGACTTTTTGTTTTGAGTTCATCTGCATTTCCTTTATTTTCAGATGTATCTCCACCGGCTGAGAGATCCATAACATTATCTAGACAGATCAAACAGAATTTTGTACAAACTCAAAAACGTATACTGAAATTAAACACCATATTTTGAAAAATAAATCTTGTGAACTCTCACAAGTAATTAACATGTAACTTTTCCCTATTAATTCCATACAAAACCCAACATACAAGCTAAGAGAATACTCACACTTCTCAAGTTGAAGTTGTTATCGTGATCTAATACCAAATTCTAGTAGCTAATTCACAAAGAAGTGTGTAGCAGTTAGAGGGGAGAGTGAACAATCATATCTTGGCCGGAGTTGAAATTCAACTGTGCTTTTGTTATGCTGTTGCTGATTGCAAACTATGCTTTTCTGTGATAAGCTTTCAATAACCAGAAGAAGAAGAAGAAGAAGAAACTTTATTAAGGTGTCAAAAACCGTCTAGCCAGGGAACAAATCCCTTGCCGTGATTCAGAGTTATGAGGTACCAGAAAACTTCAGAAGTTAACTCACCCGAATGACTGACCACTTTGTTTCCTTTTCCCTTGGACATTTGGGCTGAATCTCCTGCTACGATAGACGACTTAAACACGACATCATCGTCGCTTGCCGCTGCCAAATCTTCTAAAATCTGTTCGACTGACGGAGGAGATGGACCTTGGCGAACCTTTTGGCTGGACATTGAAAAGGAATCTAGAAGCAACATCACGAATTTGTACATCTAAAAGAGGAAACTACTTCATCAGCACAGCCGCCATGATGGAAATTGGCTTGAGGAAAAAAAAACCGCTGGCAACTTGTCAGTAGCAATCACTCGCACCAGTCTTCCTCCCGCTGTTGGAATCTCATGGAAAAGAACGGCCAGAAGAGCGGGAAATGAATTTAGCTCACAATGAGGAAATTAAACCTCGGAAAGCTACGTTGTTCCACACAGTCAGCCGCCAGTAGTCAGTCTCTAAGCGGTTCATACGCAAGAAATCAGTCACAGACGACTATTTCCAGTTTTTTCATCACTAAACCTTTGGTGAACAATCCTTGCTCAAGTGAAACCGGCAGGAAAACAGCTGATGGAAGTAAGCTCACAAAAAGTGCTAAGGTATGCTTGTGGGTAAAACAGCTTTTCATCTGTACAATGGCATTGTTTTTTTTTAACTGATATTGCACGAAGATTTATAAAAAGCTTATTTGAAGTTTATTTACATCGCGTTCGGGCAATCATACAAAGAACTATTTAACCCAGCCCTAGGCCTCCGAAGCCCCTTGGCAATTGCCACTTCCGNATTTTCTTCACTGTTTGTTGAACTTGATTATTCTAGAACCTTTGCGTGCAAGTCAGTAGCAAAGATAAGTAGTTCCCGTGTGTTATCCATGCTACAATGAAGCAATTGTTTTGCCTGTTGGAAGTGGGCTCCTAAATCTACAATCCTTGTAATTTCTCTGACACTTCCAGAAACTTCCTTGATAACCTTACATTTGACAAGGGAAAATGAGGCTAATGCAGATTTTGATATATTTTTATCAATTTATTTATATATATTTTTTTTTAACTATTTGTCAAAACGTTAGAGGTGTGCCAGTGATGTAACTCACAGTGAAGACAAGGACAGTTCAAGCACACAACATTCAAAAAGGCAAAGAATCAATCTGGATCTGCATTCCTTAAAGGAATATGTAGTGGAAGATCGTGTCACACTGGATAATAAGGAAGAGCTGAGTTGTTCTACAATGGCTAAATTAAACTGCTTTAGGAAAGATTCAAATATCCCTGATTCACATGGTGACAAAAAGCTGAGAAATCTGCGTGTCACAGAAAAACATGGAGACAGAAAAGAGCTGGATAAAAATCATAACAACATGAGTATTGGTGGAACTAGGGATGATGATGTTGGTGATGGTTTAGAACCAATGGATTTTAATGGCAGTGCACATCAGGAAAACTTAGACGTCACTAAATTTGCTTGTACATCACATCTATCTGGAAGACCAATTCAGAACATCAAAAATGTAGCAGAAAAGAATGAAACAGAAAGATGTAAACCTGTAAACTCAAGGACTAAATCCACATATACACCTTTAGAACTTCAGTTTCTTGAAGTAAAATCCAAGTACCTTGATGTTATTTTACTTGTGGAATGTGGATACAGATACAGATTCTTTGGAGAAGATGCTGAGGTATTATATAATAGTTATATAAAAATTGATATACCTTATTCTGGTAAATACCACCATTATCACAGGGAATGTAATTGTCTTCATGGCTTTAAACTCAGCCCTCTTTCCAAAAGCATTGTTAGAATGATAATCTATATTTATTATAACATAACCAAAGTGAAGCGCGCGCTCTGATTGGTCAATGTAGTGTCCCCCATTTGCCCATGGGTGTACGCTGCTGACTTGAGCAAATGCAAAGACTATTTTTCCGTGCNTTTACCAATGTATCGTTCGACGGCTCTTCAGCGAATATTTCCATCAACTTTCAGTCGAATGTTCATCCCGACGATTCAGCTAACAGCAGTTGCTTTTAGGCTTGGCTAAATCTGTATATCAATAATGATGATGATGATAATTATATTAATGATAATGACGATGATTATGATATTAATGACAATAACAGACCAAATACTTGCACCAAGTATGGATACTGCTTTCTTGAATTTTGGTTTACAAGTTAGTCCACTTACCCGTTACACAGCACAGTCACACTTCTCTTTTTTTTTTCCATATCTTGACAATCTACAAGATCTTTTTCCCTAAAACAATATCTTAATGTGCGTTTTTGGTGGTGCTAACTTGTTCTTTGCACTGTCCTTTTGTTATTGTTCTTGTTTTTTATTGTTGCTTCTTTTCTTCTTTTTGTGATGTCCAGGACATTTTGCGAACTACGCGTTCCAGTTTTGCGCGTGGGGCCCGTTAAATATTAGTTTAATTTTTGTTTCAGCTTGCTGCTAAGGAACTGAACATCATGTGCCACTGGGATCACAACTTTAAGACAGCAAGCATTCCTAACCACAGGCTGCATGTTCATGTCAAGAGGTGAGCAATTATAGTGGGATATATTATTTGAAAGTTCCTACATCTCTTTCTGGGGTATCATAATGGTTCCCATGCCACACCCTCACACCCATACCCATAGTCCAGAGAAGCCATTGTGTTGTTTTTAAGGGTGAGACAGGTTTTAATGAAAGGAAACCTCTTGCAATATTCGGATGTACTTGGGAGGGATTAGCAACTTCTCCAGGAGATGTTGCCCCACATTCTGATTACCACTGCATGTGGCAGATTTAAGAAAAGGTATTTTAAGAATAAGAAATATGGTATATTTTTAACTTGATCTTTGAAAAAAGAAAGTTGTCACTCATTTACCACAAGAGGAGTACAAAGAAAAAAGGCTTGAAATCTTTGGATATTGGGGTCTATTGCATCTCTAAGCTACCAAAAAATTTTGGGTAAATTAGGCCATTTATAAAGTTATAACAAGCACAAAACCAAGGGCAAGCTGGTGAGCCCGTATTTGATCCCTTTAACCTAGCAACTTTCGGGTATTGTATATGTATAATGAACACCAAATCTTTCCAGATTGGTCAGTAAAGGTTATAAAGTTGGAGTGGTGAAGCAAACAGAGACTGCTGCACTAAAAGCTGCTGGAGATAACAAGAGTAATCTATTCACAAGAGAACTACAGTCGCTGTATACTAAGACCACACTGGTTGGGGAAGGTATCCTTTGTGTGAGATTGTACAGAACTGAAATGGGGTGATGGGTGTGGTATGAGGGGTGAGGGGTGAGGGGTGAGGGTGATAGATGAGAGTTAAGGCTTACTTCTCTTTCATAAAAAATACACCTGTAACTCTAATAAACCAAGAGTAGAACTAAAAAATGTACAACAATTGCTTTAATTGGTTTCTTTGGAGCTCATTCCACTTCTTAAATGCATAGCTTGAAAATTGTTCTTGGTCATTCTTGTTTGTTTGAGGTCAGTTTTTTTTTTTTTTAAGGTATTACTCCTTAATCCCTCACTTTCCACTTGCCTTCCTCAAACCTTAAATCCTCAATAATTTCCCATCTCTTGGACCCTCATCACTCCTTTGGCAAAACTTTGCCAGAATTAACTCTTGTGATATTTAGTATGCAATTCTAACCAAACTACAGCTATCTTAGAGTTACTTTCAATTCTATATTGACCTAAATGACACTAAGATATGAAGACTATGGAAGATTTAGATGAAGCAGACTCTGTGGAGATGGGAAGTGGATATCTTATGTGTCTTGTCGAAGGTGATCCTCAGGATTCCAAAATAAGCAGTGATAGAAAGGTGTTTGGCATAGTGGTAAGTAAATATCATAATTGTGAAAGAGTTCCTCAAGGTCATCAAGTCTACCTTAAAGTTAACTTTTAACAAATCCTTGAAAAGTCCACTGATATCCCTAAAGAATTTGTGAGGTTGCTCTAAGGATCTGTGAGGTTTTTGGATAGATGCAATAGGTCCATTGCAAAGATCTCTGAGGTAGGTCCGTGCCTTTTGGATCCTAGAGGTACTCACAAAGATCCTTGAGGAAGATCAAGGATCTTGATAAAGGATACTTGTGGTACTTGCAGAGAAACCATGACTCTATAGAAGATCGTATCTCAGTTTCTCATTCAGATGTAAAAAAGGATGTACATGTGTTTCTCTTGAATGAATACTTCCAAGATTCTCTGACCCTTAAACTAAGTCAACTAATCACATGGCTCAGTCCTGACCAATTTTTGGTTTTAAATTTGATATTCAGGCAGTTCAACCATCCACTGGCAATGTCATATATGATGACTTTCAAGATGGACCAAGCTGTATGGAGCTAGAAACACATCTTGAACACATTTGCCCTGAAGAATTACTCCTTCCAGAATCTTTGACCATCCAAACAGAAAACTTCATCAAAGATTATGTTACAAGGGTGCAAAGGTCTGTCCATACTCCATGCATTCAGTGGATGCCTTTGAGACTAGAAAACATTTCCCTCAAACAAAAATTTGTGGGGGAGGGGGAGGGACTGTTTTGGTGCCAAAAATAATCTGTTTTCAAATTCTTTCATCAGCATTGCACTTGGCAAAATAATGTCATAAAACTTTTTTAAACAGCTCCTGCCTGTGTTTGAGAAGATTATTGACTGCAGTATCAGTTCTCCATTAAACTAGACAGTGTGTTTTAATGATTTGATGTGGGGTTTGAGTGTGGTTGGGTGAAAGATAACCCCCACCATGTTTCTGGAAAGTGAGAGGTGTGCTGTTAATAGCAGGATTTTTATAAAGAGATGTTGTAGCAGAAGGATAATATATAGAAATGGCAGAACAAATATGAACCGCACAATCGCTCGATGTCTGAATTAAAAAAACCTCAGGTCATTCAATTAACAGGGAGAATTCTGGATATTATCCAGAGAATTCTTGGATCTCTCATGCTACCGTTGAACACCCTGTGATAGACTGAATGATCTTTTCTTTATGTAAATATTTATAAAACAAGCGATTATCTGCCATTCATTGTGGAATTGTTTTTATGACTATCCAACTGGATCAACTTTGCCAGCTCTTTAAAGTTATAACTCTGATCTGGTTCTCTCTAGCCCTGCTATGAGCGGTTTTTTGTTAAAAACAAAAAAACACTGTTACATATGTTTAAGAGGAAAGTTTAGTTCCTATCAATTTTTAATTAATTCTTCAAAAGTACTGATGGATACAAAAAAGTTAAAAGTGTTTGTTTGTTACTGTTGTGCAGACCAGAGGACAGTGTAAGGCTTGAAAGAATATCTGATCAACTTTTCGATCATTCCTCTTCTCTGAAATGCATCACTGAATTTTATGGGGAACAAAAGCCGGTGAGGAATGAGGAACTCTGCAAAGTTAACATTACCAAAGAATTGCAGTGTAACGAGCAAGAAAACAATTCAGCATTGGAAATAATCCTCAAACTTCCCAAATCAGTGCAGACAAGCTTTGCGGCACTTATAAAGTACCTTAAAGACTTCAAGCTTGAAAAAATTCTCAGATTGGCAAGGTACAGTATGTAAAAGTATTTCCTGATCAATGTATGTGGCAGACTTTATTAAATAGTGTATAACTAATTGATTCATGATTGACTCATTTTAGATTATTATCAATTATTTTATTTATTAATTAAATGTGTTTTGTTTGACTTCACAGTAACTTTTCAAGATTTTCTGTAAAGAACAAATTTCTAAAATTGAATGGACAAACTCTGAGGAACTTGGAAATATTCAAGAATCAGGTATTTTGCTTGACTGACGTTTAGACTTGTCTAGGATGAATGACTTTCTGAATAACTCAACAACTCTAGAAAAAACGACTTTAAAGTCGATAACGCGTCCTAAAAATGAAAAATTGTTGTGTTATTCTAAATGTAAATAGGTAGCTCCAGCCCACATGAAAATGCTAAAACTTTGTCATTTTATATGCAGACAAATGGTGGCGAAAAGTCGTCTTTATTCTGGGTCATTAACCACACAACTACAGCATTTGGGCGAAGGCTTTTAAAGAAATGGATTTCTCAACCTCTGCGAGATGCCAGGTTCAGCTTTCTCTTTCCTACTTTGGTATTCAACGATTTTAACTTAGCACGAGGTTTGACCCGACTATTACAGGGCTGTTGTTAGCAGTCTGCGTAAATCTTTTCCACCCTCGACTACCGTTGTGTTCTATTTCTCTTTTTTGTCTGAATGAGATTGAGGTTATGTGTCACAAACAACATATCAATTAGAGAAGGTGTCTCCGCTGAGAAAAATCGATGCATAACAGTGTAAGACTCGAAGAAATCCCTTAAACTGCTAATTTGTTTTCTGTTTACAATAATTGAACATCTTTATATGAACTGTATCTTAACCAGTGAGATCGAGAGGAGACTTGACGCCGTCACAGAGTTGTGTGGTCCTAATAGATCGTGTATGGCATCTTTGAAAGGTCTCTTGTCGCAGCTTCCCGACTTAGAGAGAGGATTATGCACCATCTACCATAAAAAGGTCAGTTCAGCAAGAAAAGAAGTTATTTATCGGAAGGAGGAAGGAAAAACAAGGATGGAAAGTTACCATCAGGTCTCTCTAAAAATCTGCAGCTGGTTCAGATTTCAACAGTAGAGCTACCTTAAAATAAGTTGCGTTGTTTTTGTAAGGCTCTTAATTCATACTCATTAAAGTGGCGCTGTATTTTACGATGCATTAATTTGTTCATTGCCATAGTGAACACCAGCAGAGTTTGTGCCAATAACCAAAGCTCTGGTGAGGGTTACAAAACACGTGCAGTCAAACTACGAGGTAGCTACAAGCAAATTGGAATCTTCACTTCTGAGAAACGTTTTCAGTGAGGTATGTAGAATGAAGTTGTATCGATGCAACATTTGTGAAAACACCGTTTTTACTTACTTTGATGCATGGCCAATAAATGACTTTTTTTATTCTTTCAGGTCCCAAACTATTTGGAGGATGTTGAAGATTTTCTCCGACTGGTTGATGAAAAGGCTGCCAAGTAAATTACATTTCCTAAATAAGACTTAAGCGCTTTTGTTTCCGATGCCCAAACGTTTGTACAGCTTAAGTAGTCTTGAAATGAAGAGACCATCGACTTCACGTTCGACTGCCATCTCTGACAGTGCAATGTTCAACTTACCTCAACATCATTTCTATTTTATTTCCAGAGACGGTGACAAAACCAAGCTGTTTTGTGACCAAACGCAGTTCCCTATGTTAATGAAATGTAATTTGGTGAGTCAGAGCTCATTTTCTATACATTTTTAAACAGAGCGCAAATTTTTGCATTCCACACACTTGTGTAAACTTTGTACTACGCTAAATTTGAAGAGTATTTGTTATTTTCTCCGTGAATCAGGAAATCGAGAAGATTCTGACCGATTTAAGAAATCATCGCTCGGAGTTTAGACAGGTGTTACGACATCCATCTTTGGATTACTGCTGTGTTTCAGGAAACGAGGTATTTTCAATACGTAATTTCTCTTTGCTCGGCTCCAAAACGCGCTCTAACAGTGGTTGGCGCGCTGAATTCCGGATTGGGAGGTCTTGAATAACCTCCCAACAAGCGCTTTAGACAGTCCTGAGTAAACTGATCACAACGTATACAGGAACTGAGTTACAACCAAAGATTTTGCATCGTTTATTTCAGTTCTTAATCGAAGTAAGGAACACGAATATGAAGACAGTGCCTTGCGATTGGATCAAAATAAGCGCGTAAGTCTTCAGGGCTCGTGAAGCCTTTTCTCCACATTGTGTTATTGATAAAACGTGGCTGTTGATTTTTTACCGATAATTCCTCCTACATAAAGAGATAATGAGTCATGTTTTTGGTCAGAAACAGTTTTGGGGTTGCCCGATTGTAGTGTTGCAAGCAACTAACTGCTTAATTTTTAAATAGTTTTTAAAAGAAAACTTCTGCTTCTGAGACTCCTAACTTTGTCTTTAAACCTTCTCAATTTGTGGCTGAAAAGCTCACATTAGTCTCTCCACCAACCATGTGCGAAATCTCAGTCAAATGGATCTTAGAGTTACCAACTTGGTCTTTCCTGTTTTTCGGCCCGCGCTTTCGAACTACAAAGTTTTGCTGTGCGACACTCTCATTACAAACGATTTGCGACAAAACACAGAGCTCTAATCCAAGCCATTACACAATCCTCCCCAAATGACTTTTGCATCAAGGTAGTGATTTACTGACGTTTAAGTTCCATATTGATCACTTGTGTCTATGCTTTTTCCAGTACAAAACAGGTGTCCAGATTTAGAACACCATTCGTAGAGGACAAGTTCAAACTTCTTTGCCAGTGGCGGGAACAACTGTCAATCTGCTGTCAAGAGGCATGGCTAGAATTTCTAGCGCTGTTCTCAGAAGCGTGTGCCAGATACCGGCGTGCTGTATGTCACATCGCCACACTCGACTGCTTGTTCTCCTTGGCTACCGTGGCCAGCCAGCGAGGTTTTATCAGGTAGGGCTTGTGATCAAGTTGGAAATATTTTCTATTAAATGTTCAATAAATGGTTGTTCGCACAATGTGAAGTCACCAGCTATTTAAGAAAATTGTGAATTTTTAAGACAAATCTAAGTCTGCTGTGAGAATTCGAACCCAAGCCCCCAGTTCTGATAATGACAGTGATGTGATAATGATCCCGATATTACCAGAATGGTATATGAAAGGGATTTTGGATTTACCATCCTACTGGGATAAAATTCAACAACTTCTCCGCGAGAAAACAATTTTCATAATGAGTAGTCGTTTTTTATTTATGTGGGAAGTTGTGATAACTTTCAGTGCGAGCTGAGTTTCCGCGCAGATATTCTCTGCCTTTAGTGCTCTTTGCAAATTGTCTTTGGAAGTAAAATCTTCATACTGATCGATAAACAAAGAATTCTTACATATCCATATTTGGATTTGAATTTATCAGGTTCTGCTGATAATACATCTCACTCCTTCGCTTCGCGAACTCGGTATGGATATTTTGAAAATACCCAAAAACAGAATTGGATTCTCTCTCTCTCCCTCCCTCTCTCTCTCTCTCTCTCTCTCTCTCTCTCTCTCTCTCTCTCTCTCTCTCTCTCATGAGAGATATTCTCAAAACACCCGAAAATAGAATTCGATTTACATCAAAATGTTTTTTCTTTTGAACGCGGTAAATGAAACAAGGTTTTGTGGTGTAGCTATCGGCAGAAGTCCCCCACTTCAGTTTGTTACTCTGGGGAATGGGGTTTATATTATGTGAACTTTTATTCTTTTCTGAGCGGAATTGCAATTAAGCTATGCGGACTCTTGAAAGCCACGTGTAAATTATATCCTGACCACCTTTGAAGTTTGCGATTTGAATGTTGCACACCCGGTAGTTTCCAAGAATATTACGGAATCGAAGTGTAATCATGATAATGGAAGGTGCTTTGCGTAAAATCTCTTGACGATCATTGAACTTAAGCGGTTTAAATTTAAATGTTCTGTGAGCCATAGGTTGCTTCACCTATCAGCGTAACATTCTTTAGAATGCTTGATGCTCTGCACTTGTCTTCAAAATGGGTACTTCAAGTTAGATGGAATACTGCTTCCTGACATAATAGTTAAACGTCATGTCAGATACCTATTAAAGACTGATCTCTGTGCAACAGTTTTTTATTCGGGAACACATTACTTTTGAAGACGTACAATATCCAAATATTTCCAAGACTGAGTCCAAGTCATGAACACCTCTGATTTCGCTGAGGGACCTCACTTTCCAACTTGTGTTATGAACAAAGTTGTCTGGAGCAACAGCTATTACATAGAGAGGACAAGCTTTGCCATCAGCTCCATAATCCTCCGTGGTCTCAGCATGCCTGTGACAATTCTTATGAATGCGTTGGTGATCGCGGCAGTGAAGACAACACCCAGATTGCAAACAAATTACAACGTTTTGTTGGCCTGTTTGGCAGTTACAGATTTGTTGGTGGGATTAATTGTTCAGCCAAGTTTCATTTTCATACAAATTAACGTTCTAAGAGGAATATCACTGGAGGAATTCTGCCAATACGAGAAAGAGCTTTCCTTTTTCGCTATCATTCCCATTCTCTCATCTTTGTATCTTCTCACCCTTATAAGTTTGGAGCGCTTTGTAGCAATAAAACACACTTATCGATACGCCACTATTTGTACTACACGTCGCCTGATAACGGCAGTCGCGATCTCGTGGATCATAGCTATTTTCCCAAGCGTACTTCACTTTCTTGTCGAAAGTTTACAACCGATAGTCAGAGCTGTGCGCGCATTTTTTTGGATGGTCAACTTTATCGTGATTATATTCTGTCATATTTCTGTTTACTTTGTGTCCCGTCGACACGAGAGTCGGATCAGATCAGAGCAGGTTTCACAGCAAGCCGCCGCTGACTTTGCAAAGGAGCAAAAAGCTTTGAAGACAACCAGAATTATTTTAATGACTTTACTTTTGTGTATTCTCTCTCCTTTCGTGTATAGTTTATTGTTACGGATCTTCTCCAACAGCAGTAGTTATGTTGTAACAGTGATACATTTGAGTCATCCTCTCTTGTCAGCGTCTAGTGCGATTAATTCTGCTTGCAACCCGTTCATATACTGCTACAGAAATAGGACATTTCGGGACAAATGCGTTAGGTTCTTGAAATTTAAATTTGTAAATCAGGAAACTGAAGAGTAGTAACTCTACCTGTGTTTGTCGTGGAAACATCTTTAATTTATTGAACACTGTCCAAATGTTTGTTTTTTTTTTTTTTTCATTCTTGAAGAGAGAAGGTTGTTTCCCTCAGTTGGGATGATGGTTTTGGAGGTTTCTTGAACGTTTAAAGTCCCAGTGAAAAATGTGAACGTATCGGAAAGTAATTCAAGGTTTTCGTAAAAATATTTCTTTTTTTAGTATCTTGACACGAAATAGCTATATTAATGATTTGGACACCCCAGCTGATTTGTGGAAATACGTGGACGACACATCTTGTTCCGAAATAGTTATTAAGGGCAGTGAGAGCAAACTCCAAGAAGCTGTGGATGACCTTTCCAGACAAGTGAGTATCGATGGGTTCCAACTGAATGAGGCCAAGTGCAAAGAACTACGAATTGGATTTTCTAACAGCAACCACGAGTTTGAACCCCTAGTCCTAAACGGCAAAACCCTTGAATTAGTCACCAGTGCCAAATTGCTAAGCGTGCCCATTAGCCACGATTTAAAGTGGAACATGCACACCTCTGAACTAAGTAGAAAATGCTCATCTCGTCTCTACTTTTTGAGACAACTCAAGACATCCGGAGTTGCACCAAGCGAACTTGTGCAATTCTATGTGACATATATTAGGCCCGTCTTGGAATACGCATGTCCTATATTCCACCGTTCTCTACCAAACTACATCAGCGAAGATTTGGAACGGATCCAAAGAAGGGCACTCAGAATTATCTATCCTGACCTGTCATATAGTGTAGCACTAGAAACAGCTGGCCTACCGAAACTTTACGAGAGGAGAGAAAAGATTTCAACCAATGTATTTGACGAGATAGTCTGTAACCCCATCCATAGACTCCACAGCGTCCTCCCCCAAAGGAAGAGATGTAGATACGCACTGAGGCGCAAAAGTGATTTCACTCTCCCCATATGCAAAACCGAACGCTTGACGTTTTATTTTTAGCCATATTTATAAGATGTAGATGATTTTCGTTCTTTCTTAATGACGAAGTTGTAATATTTTATACTTCTTTCTTTACCATTTGCATTTGTAAATATTCCGTAATTCAGCCTATGGCTCCAAGGTGTTTATAATAAAGTATCTATCTATCTATAAAGATATCTTTGTGACCTGACGCGTAAAACTGATATGTGTTCTTTTTGGCAGAGACAATCACCAACTATCGGCTCATGAATAAAGTAAAGAGAAACATCTGTTTTCCATTAATTGTGTAGAGATCTGGGAACCGACACGTTCAATTTTTTGCGACACCAAGTGATATCCTTAATGGAGTTCTCGATACTTAGCAATGTCATTTCCGCAGGTTTGAAAGGCTTCCGATTTGTAAAGAAAGGAGCTACCCGACTTTTACTTTGCGCTTCTCTTTCTTTTTGGGATGAAAATTGGAACACCACATTCGGTGAAACACGTTTTCATCTCCGCGAAAAGTTACTTTGCGATGTGCGACGTTTCTTAGCTTGCGGTAATTCAAACATGGTACGTTAGAAAACTCCTTGAGAATACTTTGCAAAATTCGTTTTGACTAATCTTAGAGTGATACTTGTTACGGTGAAGCGTTAACCTAATTTTGATATAATGTCTGCTTGCCGAAAGTTGAAGATACTATAGCTACTAAGCTACACTGTAAATTAAATATAAAATAAATTCCTGAATGTGTGGTGACGAAATCCGCACTTCACGAAAAAGAGGTTTTTAAAGTATTAAGCGGTCATCAGAAGCTACAAGGTTGGAAACGCTTATTTATGTTATGTTCAATTTAGACCATTTCTTTCATTTGTTTGCAAGGACCTCAATGGAAACTACTGGTTTACCAGTAATTGTGTAATCCTATAAAAAGACTTTTTATTTATTTATTTTTTTTATCGCATCGACCACGTGGCGACCATAATTGAACTTCTAGTCTTGAATGCGAAGTTGTTCGCCCCGGAGTCGCCCTTTTGTGTTTGATTTCTCGCTTAGTTCTTTAAAATTCGGTTTTAAATTGATCTTTGGGGCTTTGAAACCCAGTGACATGTTCTAAAAGCGTTGTTTTAGCGATCAAATACGATGTTATTCGAGATATTTGAAGAAGCGAAAGCGGACACGTAGGGCGATGATATCATCTGTTGTTATGGTAATGCACTTTCGGTTACGTTTGTTACGTGCAACATTCGTTGGCGATTTGGCGATCTAATTTAACATCGAATTTCCATTCGATTAATTTTGAGTAACATACGAAATATAAACATTGCAAATTTAATACTTTTAGCGAAGGAGAAGTTGAAGATCAGAAGTAATCGAGCGACCTAACGGGCTTGCGCTACTACTTGGCCTGCGTCATTACGTTCCTGGGGGCAGAGTGGTGAGTGATATATTTACAACTCAAGCGCCAACTTTTGTGTTTGATTCCTCGCTTAGTTCCTTAAATTCGATTATAGATTGATATTTTGGGCTCTAAAACTCAGTGATATGCTCTAAAAGCATGGTTTTAGCGATGGGATGCGATGTCATCCGAGTTATTTGAAGAAGCGAAATCGGACACGAAGTGCGATATGATAGCTGTTGTTATGGAAATGCATTTTCCGTTACGTGTAATGCACCAATCAATGTCTTGCCCCAACAGGGGGAGCCTGGGCATACCCAGGGGCTATTGACATTTTTGAAAAAATTGTCAATAAGCCCCTCTGGAGGGCCTTATTAGAATGACAAAAAGCCCCACACAGGGAGGAAAGATACATCGTTAATTTATCTAAGGAATACCAGGACACTAAGAGATATATTTCCTCAAGAAAAGTTGAGAAGTATGCCACGATGCCACGAGCGAGACTGTCAAACACAGTTTCAACTTTAACTTTTTTTCCTATTTATATATACATACATACATACATACATACGTTAGTTGACCACTCCCCATGGGGGCTTTTCAGGGCCAATTCCCACCCATCCCACCCCAAGGGAGGACATCCACTAC